CCAGCACATGGTCAGGGCAGCCAGAACCGGAGGTGCCGCCAAGCGTGCCGGGCGGGGGAAGCCCGGCTCTGTCTTGTCACCCCCAAATCCCTTAGTCGGTCCGGCACGGTAAACGATCAGCTTCCTTTTGGAGAAGCCTGTGAAACTTTAAAGGGCGCTTTTTCTTCCCCTGCTTTTCCTGTCTTGGAATAGAGCTAGTTCTGAGACAGCCGCCAAGAGTTAACAGCAAGGTAAGGTATGACTCAGCCAAGCAGAGAAGGCCTTTCTTGAAATAGTACTTGGCAACCACCAGAGAGGAAGGGCAGAAGAAATACTTCGAGCATATTTGTGCTGTTGGTTTTCAGTTCTAAGGCGTATCTGTGTGATGCGTTGGTTGGGTTTTTTTGTTGTTCTCAGCGTGCTGCTGTGTAGGTGACATCCTTGTTCTGCTCTTTGTCAGATGTTGCTGGGACTAGGCTGAGTGGAATAAGGCATACGGTAATGGTGGGGACGTCCTTTATGTAGCCAAAAAGCCAGGATCTCTGGAGTAAGAAGGATCTTTCAGTTACGCTGATCCTTGAATCGGAGGACACAAATGCCAAGCTATTTATTCCATCGACAACTGGGATAAATTGTAATCATGACCGCAAAAGACCTCGCTGCTGTTGTCACCCAAGAGATTCTATTGTCAGTTTCACAATGCTAACATGAGTCCCCTTGGTGAAACCCGTTAGTGTGAGATCTTTTGCTTGTAATGCCTCGGCTTGTATCTGTGTGTGATCTAGCTTCCCAGCCTCCAGACCCGATCCTGCAAAAAATTAGTCCTCAGCCATGTGCCGGTTGCTACCCAGCCCTTTGTGTTCAGCTGCGCTGAAAGAACAAATGTCCTTAGATTGAGATTCATGTTAACAATTACATGATGTCATTCAGGTTATTTGACCACTGCATCCATCAGAATTGAGGGATTTTTATTGGTTTCGTTAGAAACCCCCTTTTTGGGGGGCGTGGAGGGGACAGGGGGAGGAAAGGGAGTAGATTTTTTTGTTGTTGTTTGTTTGTTTTTTTCTTAGTACCCCAACTGTCACTGAATAGAAAGTACTGTAGGCTTAAATAAAATTAAAGCTAATGGAAAAAGAGTAATTTCACGTAGAGAAAGAGAGGGAAACTAAACAGCCTCCATGTGGGCCTACTGTCTTTCGATACATTTAAATAGTTGAATTTCAGCATATTTGGAAAGAAATCTGTTCCTTTTTATGATGATGAGTAGTCCCCAATAGGATGATGAGTAGTCCCCGGTTACTACTACTTTTAGATTGGAAAACCAGTTTTCCTTGCTTGATATACACATGGCTATAGGAAGCATTGATCTATAGCTCCAGTCAAACACATAAACTCCTACTGTTTGCTTAAACTGTGAAAGGGTGCTTACCATTTTAGAGGACAAGCGGTTTGAAGGCAACATAAGAATGGGGATATGGCAGTTCAAAAATCAATGCAAAATCAGTACATTGGCCCTGAAGCTGTAAGAGTTCAGAGGCAAGAGAAAGGAAAGTTAATCTTGAGTAAGGCTAGTCAGCCACTCGCATGGAGAGCCCAAGCCTGGCCTATTGCAAATACTTGGATTTCAGTATGCTATTCAAGCTTTTATATAAGCTTTTCTATAAAATGGAAGAATAGGATGAAAAAAAGAGACTATATCCCTCGCCCCCCACGCCTTCCCAGCCTTTTCCATCCAGATCTTGTAAAATAACCTGGTGACTGGCCTACTTTTACAAACGCCCCCTTAAGTGATTTGGCTGTAGGCATGCTATGGGTTACTGGCAGAGCCAGGAATAGCACGAGCAAATCCTGACTCACTGTTTGCTACTGTAATGATACTAGATATACTTTCTCCCAGAGCCCTAATACCATTTGAACAAGAATTTGACTCCTATTTTAGTAATGGCACAATAAGACGGGAACTTTGTTCTTGTTTCTGCATGCAGAATGGTGCGGAAACAGTTGCTTAGCGCTGGAGGGACTGAGGGGTGTGTTTGAGCTTTTGCTTTAGCCCCTAAGCCTGCCCCTAAAAACTGCCCCTGCCATCGGGGGGCGGGGAAGTTGAAATGCTCCTGTGTCCGGTACTCTTTATTTGGTATAGGGCCTTTTGGAGAAAATGGGGAGGCTGCTAGTGCAATGTAATGGTTCTACAGAGTTCAGGTAATGGAGGAAGGGGTTTTTTTGTTCATTTGATGTACTGAAACGGTTGTAGAAATGCCTTAATGTAGCAGTCCCACTGATCTGTCAAATAAACACCTTTCAGAAAAGTGAAAATAAATTCCAGCTTTATGCACAGAATTTTGCTGTCCCACTCTCTGCTCTGTTTTGCAGAGGACTTGGACTCTCTTTTGGGTTCCTAGGATGCTTTTCTGGTGATGAGTTAAATGATGGAAGTACAGTTAGCTTGACACGTCCTAGCCCCAGTAGTTTCTTGACTCAGTTTTTACAGAAAGAAGGGTGTGTGTTTTACTTGGTACTCAAATACACAAATACGCATTGCTGAGGGGTCTGTGCAGAGCAGCTGATGTGCTGTGTGCAGTATCTACGAATGCCAGAGGGAGCTGATTCTTTCATAAGGACAACCTGGGTGCATGAAATGGAACTGCGTGTAGCTGGACTGCGAAGAGATTTCTTTGACAAAAAAGTGGATAAACAGTGAACTACCTACCTCAACAAGGCCAAGCGTTCAGAGTTAATTTCTGTGACTTTAATAAAAAAAAAAAAAAAAAAAGGAAACGCCCTTCTTAACGGAAGGAAAACATTAAGCTGTTTGTTTATTTACTTTATCCTTTCTGTGTCTTTCTCTCAGTTGTTCCCTTTGGCAAGGTACCATATAGTGGAATGGGAAGAAGGGGCATGTTGTTTCAGTGAGCACGCTGGGGTCTTGCCCTTGGCTTGGGAGACTGCAAGATCAGTTCTGAAGTAACAGGGCTTAGAAATAACTCTGACCCTTTTATGGCTGATGGTGCAGGATTTGGGAGTTTGTAAAGCACAAGTTAGAGCCTTGTTGTTGATGTGATTTTCTTGTAAAATTTGCAGACATTGTGTTTTGAAAGCTATTCCCTTCCTGTTTGCATGAGGCGTGGTTGTAGGTGCTGAAACCTGTATTCCTCCTTGTAGTCTTAAATGGAGACTGGAAAGAACCAGAAGTGAAACATACGTTTTCTCACAGATAGGTAACTACATTGCCATGGTAACTTGGGGATTTCAAATTCCAAATATACCATGTCTGTTGACACAAATTGGACACTGCTGCTGGAAACAGGGATTCAACGATTATCTTGTTTTCCTGCCGCTTTGGTTCTTTTACATACAGTGAAAGGGAATATCTCTTCATACGCAATGCCCATTGTTAAATTCTCCATATTTATGTTCATCCTCTTGTAAACACTTACCCCCCACCAAGCAAATGCCACCAAAAATGATAATGTGGTGTGAAAATACTATACAGCAGCATGGAAAGAAGTTCTGATTGTGCCAAAACACATGAATATCTGTTACAAATTTTGCATGGACTTAATTATATTTTAAAAATAAAACCAACCAGTATTAATTTTTCTACTCATACAGTTCATTCTTGGTTGTGGTTTTCTGGTTTGGTTTGGTTTTTTTTATAATCCATAGTAAAATATTGACTGTCATAGCAGTGGCACATGCATAATGTTTCTGAGACTACTTATTAAACCAGACGTGGTTTCTCAGGTGCTTTCTAATGTGGTTGGCAAGTCTGGCAGGGACTATGGTTGGCACATAGCTCGTAAGCGGATTCTGGATGCTGTAGCAATCATCTTTCTTCCAAGAAATTGCTTCCAGCTTGCATGTTTGTAAAGGGAAACTTGCAAGAATATCCCCAGAATAATGAATTCAGTGATGCGCTGAAGGGTAGTAGTGATTTCATCTTATTTGAATTATTTCTTCCAACAGGCCCTGGCAGAGCAAGGGGCTTTCCACAGTGGAGTGAACCTAGAAGGCTCACATCGATCTCAGTGCGCCCTACGCTGGTCCATTGCTTCAGATGTGAAAGTCCGTTCTCGGAGCGGTTTTTGTAGAGCCCTGCGGGATTGAGCACAGGGTTTCCAGTTGTGTTTCCAGTGAAATCTCCTTTCTTTCCTCCTTTCTTCCTTTCACTTTGACTTTCTCACCAATGTAAATAAAATAATCTTTGGGGTTTGGGGTTTTTTTGTGTTGGGGAGGTTTTTTTATTTGTTTTTGTTTTGGTTTTTTTTTTTTTTTGTAAATTCTCTGGACTGCTTTAAAAGTTGGTCCTTTGCTGCTGACAGTATGTTCTTCCGCCAGCCCCGTGTTCACCGGAGTTGAACTGCACTAAATTGACTATGGAAGTAATTTTATAAACATATATAATTAGCTAATACAGAGGTGGGGACTAATACCTAGGAAATATTACATTCCTAAATTTGAGATGGGGGTTTAATGTGAGATTGAGGAAGGAGAAGCCTTTGTAAAATCTTGGATCTCTTAAGTATTGACTTTTTAGATGGGGATAAAGCTATACTTTACTAAATGTCATCCCTTCATTACTTCTTTCTTCCAGTGCTTCCAGAAAACTTTAAAAATTATCTTTAAGCATATTAGTCTACTTTCAAAAAGGAAAAATTATAGGAAGTGTGTCATTGCATAGACTGCATTTTGAGTCCAGTGTTGGCTAGCAAAGGTAAAGACTGAGATGTGTAAAGCTTTCTAATTAAAATTCAGTGCTCTTAACTCTCAAGTTGTGGTAAGATTGCTGTAGTAGTTCATTTCAATCGCTGAGGCTTATTCAAAGCAGTTTGTGTCATCTTTTTTCTTTTTATGGTATGTAGCGAAGCCAAGTTAGACCTCTCACTTTACTTATTTTTATTATCATATAACCTGGTGGTACCCCCCTGAAATCACAACTGTGCAGTTTTACAGTCAGCAACAGGGGCTGTAGAACTAGATGGAGAAGGTTTTGGCTTCATTCTTAAACACTTGTGAAGTGCACGGTGTGGGACTGTGAAATGGATTGGGAGTAAAGCCTCTCTCTTGCTGGATGCTTGATGCACAGTGGTCTCCCCGCTGGTGCAGGCTGGGTGGGGAGGCTAGGTGAAGGTTGCAAGAAGACTATAAGGCAGAGAGGGAAAGGAGTTTGTCCCATGCCAGCCAGGAGTTCTGTGACTCACGTAGAGGTAGGACGCAGTAGCTGAGCCCCAGTTATTGTGTCCCCTGACTCCTGCCTCTCTTGGACCATTGCGTGGGGTGCTTTAAATCTCCAGGGTTTATGCTTTCCCATAATGAATGCTGTCAGCTTGAGAGATGGTCTTAATTGTTAGTAGAATAAAAACTAGGGAGAAAATGGTTTATGTGCAGTACTTGGGAGGGTTTATAGCTCTTTGTTTTCCTGTCCTGCTGCTATGGATACAGCCTGCATCAGCAGCACAGGAGAGTGCTCTGACAAACTCTGGGCCAGTTTCTTAGCTGTAGCTGGGCAGCTAGTATCCTTGAATTTGCTGAAGAGACCTGTCGTGCTTATGGTTAAGGGAAGGATACCTGATAGCAATACCAGGGCTTAACTGACAAGGCAGCAGAGACATGGGAAAAGTAATAAATGTGTCTCACAGCCAGTGTGATAGCTTTTTTTTTTTTTTTTTCCCCCTCCTGATCTCTGTTATTACTACAACTCTGTGACTGCTTGTAACAGTAGAATAGTGGACGAAGCTGGAAATGGAGTAGATGCTTGCAGTTCAGTGCATTGCGGTGCTTCTTGTGGGCACGTGCAGAGGGGTTTGTGGGCCTTTCAGAAGGTGTGTATAGTCCAGTGGCGACAACAAATGGCTTTAGAAATAACTTCACTCCTGTTACCTTACACTTGAGCCTGACCTGTTGCCATGTGAAGGAAGGGGAGGGTTGAGGAGGTTGCCCAGTCAGCTTGCTTGAGGTTGGTGGGTCTGCCGTGATCTCAGGGAGTGTCAGGCCAAGGGGAAAGATTTGATGATTTCATCATCAACCCCCTGAGTGCTGGCAGGGTTGTGAGATACTGTGGTGGTCCTGGGTGAGGGCGGGGAGCATGTCACAAAAAAGAAGGTGAAAAGGGAAAGAAATTGCTAGGATTAAAAATAATAACAATTGGAATGCGAGATAAATATCGTGAAGTCATTGGCTAGCTGGCTGCCTGATTGTTCCATGAGTTCTGCGTGAAACATGAGATCTACTCGCAAGTCAGTTTGCATTGTAGGTGCTGCAGAGTTTCAGCTTGTAATTTCCCTGACAGTAAAATTTCATAGTCCTCTGTCTTTTCAAGTGCCTGTCATATTTACTCAGCAGAAAATAAAATGTTGGAAGTGATATGTTTGTGCTTAATCTGCAGCTGGCAGAGGAGGGATGATGCTCTGAGGACTCTTAGTGCAGGGATAGCACAGATTTAAAAAATAGGACAGTAAAGGCTTCTGTAGCTACATCATGATAGATGGCTAGAGCCTTTATGTTCACTTAAGTTCCAGTAGTATCTGCCCTGTACCAGTGCTCTTTTCTTTTTTGCCTCTGTAGTCCTCTAGAGCCAGCTTCGTGGTCATCCTCTGCTGAAGGAGGGTTCTCCTTGGTCTCTCTCTAAGCTCAGTTTGCAACAACGGGTCACCTTTGCAGGAACAGTTTCCTCCTTATAGGATGTCTTAAGACCTGTGGTCCCTTCAAAAGCCCTGGGTCTCCTTGCTGCCTGTGGATCTGGCCTGCAGAGTGGAGAAGAGATGCTCCTGATCCCATGCAGAAGGACTCTTCTCAGTCTGGCCGTAGGGGATGTTGCTGTGCCAGGGAGGTTTAGCTGTTGGGGCAGCTGCACACTGCTGCTTAAAATAGGGACCCTTCCATTCTTTGTGTAAAGACAGCTGGTCCTCAGCCCTTGTGCTTGAGCTGCTGACAGAGATTTTGGTCTCATCTATTTCCTTGAAAGGACCTTCGGCTAGGTCATTGAGAAAACATATGTTTATAACCCCCCCCCACCTTGATCTTGTAGGAGTTGCATCTTCTACCTCTTTGCAGATGTTAACGTTAATTTTTTTTTGTGCATGTTCCTTCCTGGATTTGGGGAGGAGACCTGCTGGCTAGAGGAAGGGGTGAGTTTGTTACAACAGTCCAGCAGCTTTGTAGAGTGACAGGAGCTTTGTGTTTTAAGTTACAGCAATATGTCCTGCAACTCACACTTGAGATCTGATTCCTATTGATGATAATGCTGTCTTTTGGAAGAAAGGACAACAAATTGTAACAAATCAGTAACTGTTTCAGTGTGTTTGTTCAGCATTGTAAAGATTTAAGTCACTTAGGTCTTCCAGAAACAGAAAGTCCTGTGCAGAACAGGTTAGCCTGTGTCAAGATGTCCTATGGATACTCCCATGAGTATCAAATTCACCCTGGAACAGTAGTCTTAAGTTTTCAAAGAACTTGTTTTTCACTTTGTACCCTGTTTCTTGCGCTTTCAGGTTCGCAGCCTGTTTATTTGTATGCAACTGCCATGGTGTGGCTTCCCCGAGCTTATAAACTTGTGCTTTGCCTAGGCTCTTTCCTTTCTGTGATACTAACTGTAATTGGTCTTTGATTCTGTTGTATGTGCTGGGTGTTTTTGTTCTGTTGACACAACGTCTATAACAACAGGGTCCCTGTGCGTGGCTGGAGCCCTAGGTTTAACAAGAGTAGAAACAGGAATTAGCTGGATCTTTTTGCTCTCTGGTTAACTCGTGGAGGTATGGGACATCATGGTCTGAATGCAGATCACAGGAAGCATATTTTCAAAAGTTAGCAGCACCACAGCCACATGCCTTTTCTGTCAAAGCAGAAAGGGCAGGAAATCCTTGGAGATCCGAACCTTCCTTTTCACCTTTGGAGGTGTTCTAGCCTCTATTTGAAACACAGCGCAAAGCAAAGGAAATCTTACTTGCTCCTGTCTTTGATAGGAGTGGTCTCCATGTGATGTGGAGGCTAGTTCTGGAAGCTCTGAGGCTGATTTCTGCCATCAACAGTTTGCTCAGTTACTGTTAAAAATAGGAGATGGATCTGTGTTGAGTGCTGTTGAGAGGGAAGTACTTTTAAGAATTGTGTGCAGCATTTCTTACAAGCCCATTAGCGGGATGTTCAGAAAAAGCTGTTTTCTTGCTATAGCAATTTGGAGTTTCAACCAGTTTCACTGTTTTCCTCTTTTTTTTTTTTTTTTTTTTTTTTAACTGCAGATCAACTTGAGCGTGTGTTCCTGCGTCTCGGCCATGCAGAAACAGACGAGCAGTTACAGAACATTATTTCCAAATTCCTACCCCCAGTTCTCCTCAAGCTGTCTAGCACACAGGAAGGAGTTCGTAAAAAGGTAAGTGTGCAATTAACCATAATGATATGTTTTCCTCATCAGGGAGAATGAAATGCCCCTGATATACCATGATTTATGACACTTAGATGTTCTCTGTGAAGAAATTTACTCTTTGAGGAAAAGTTGTTGTGAGCCTGATAGTGAATGCATTTATTACAACTGTTAGGGCTTAAAGAAAACAGTCACTTCTTGTATCAGCAAGGTCTTTTGCAGATGTATGGAGACTGCATTTCTTTCCACTTGAGGCCAGCTAGCTATGAGTTAGCCTGAGATCAGGACTTACTGCCATAGAGGATAGTTGCTGTGGCTTCCAGGTGAGGGCTGTTGTGGATCCACCTGACTAATGGCACATGTGGAGCAAGCTTGCTTCTGTGTGCAGAAGACCATGAGGACGTACCCATTGATGTCATTCACTTGTCTGATAACAGGAATAGGAGCAAGGACCAACCAATTTGGAAGATGGGATTTGATACCTACCTGAAGAAATTCAGTTCCCTGGTACTGAAGGCAGCTTTATCACAGAATTCATTCGGGAAGACACTAAATTTGACTTCCAAAACTGTTTAGTCCTTGCCTGGTTACAAGCATAGGAGCAAGGAGCAAACAGTTTTGGAGATGGAATTTAGTATGAATCTGGGGAATTCAGTTGCCTATATTAGGTTGTAGGATAAAAGCTCAGCTGCACACCTGCAAAGGAGCACAGACATAATAGGAAGTGCAGAAACCTGCCCCAGCTCCTCACAGGCCCATTGTAGGAGCCATCAAAGGCCCATCTCTGCAAGCCCAGGGGAACACAGAGGCACCATGGCAGGCAGGCAGTTAAGCACTCAGAGGAAGGGGCACCCTGCCCACGTCTCTCCCAAGCCTGTCTGAGGAGAACCTTGGCCCCACTGTCTGGGCACGAAACGCGTCAAGATAAGTCAATGCCAGAACACCTTCTGGACTGAGAGGGTGCTACCTAGGGGTAGTGGACACAGTGGGTTGCAGGGGAAGAGCATTTGGGGATTGCACAGGTCTTCTAAATGGGATGTTTAGTTGTGGTGGTTTGACCCTAGCTGGACACCAGGGGCCCACCAAAGCTGCTCTGTCACTCCCCTCTTTACCCGGACAGAGGAGAGAAAAGTAGATCAAAGGGCTCATGGGTCGAGATAAGGACAGGGAGAGATCATTTGCCACTCACTGTCATGGGCAAAACAGACTCAACTCGGTGAAATTAATTTAATTTATTACTGATCAAAATCAGAGAAGGAGAGGATAAAAACTGCTGAATCTTAAAACACCTTCCCCCCACCCCTCCCTTCTTCCTGCGCTCAACTTCACTCCCAGTTTCACTACCTACTCCCCCTGCAGTGGCGCAGGGGGATGGGAATGGGGTTGGGGTGAGTTCGTCACACGTTGTCTCTGCCGCTTCTTCCACCTCAGGAGAGGATTCTTCTCCTGCTCATGCGTGGTGTCCCTCTCACGGGAGACAGTCTTCCACGAACTTCTCCAACGTGAGTCCTTCCCACAGGTTACAGTTCTTCACAAACTGCTCCATTATGGGTCCATAATTTCCACAGGAGCAGACTGCTCCAGCGTGGGTCCCCCGTGGGGTCACAAGTTCTGCTGGCAAACCTGCTTCGGCGTGGGCTCCTCTCCCCACGGGACCACAAAGTCTTGCCAGGAACCTGATCCGGCGCAGGCTTCCCATGGGGTCACAGCCTCCTTCCTTTGGGCATCCACCCGCTCTGGCATGGGGTCCTCCCCGGCCTGCCGGTGGGGATCTGCTCCACCATGGACCTCCATGGACTGCAGGGGGACAGCCTGCCCCACCATAGTCTTCACCACGGGCTGCAGGGGAATCTCTGCTCCGGCACCTGGAGCACCTCCTGCCCCTCCTTCTTCACTGACCTTGGTGTCTGCAGGGCTGTTCCTCTCACATACTCTCACTTTGCTTTTCAGCTACTGTGTTGCAGCAGGTTGGGTTTTTTTTTTCCCTTCTTAAATATGTTATCACAGAGGCGCTTCCACCGTTGCTGACTGGCTTGGCCTTGGCCAGTGGCAGACACATGGAAAACTTCCAGCAGCTTCTCACAGAAGCCACCCCTGTAGCCCCCCACTACCAAGACTTTGCCACACAAACCCCAATACATTAGTGGAGGAACCAAAGGCAGGGAAAGGGATGGACCTAGGTGATTTGGGGAGGAGCAAGTGTGGGTGTCTAGAGCTGAAGCCCACTGGTGAATGTTTGCCTCTCCTGGTTGGACCTGGGGGTGTGGAGCTGCGGCAGCTTCCCCTCTGCTGGGCTACCGGGCCTGGCCCTAGTTCCCTGACACCATCTATGGGTCATTCCCCTTATTCCTGTGGCCAGGCAAGGATCAAACAATGTTGAAGATGGAATTGATTATGAACATGAAGGAATTCAGTGATGTAGCTGCCTTCTGTATCAGGGACCTGAACTGTTTACTAGCAGGTTTTTTTTTTTCCCCAGGCCTGTTCTTGCACAAGTCTTGTGCAACAGCAGTTGTGGTATTGTATGAGGGATCACTAAACCTGGTGTTGATGGCAGAAGGGATCTGCCCTGGTCTGGATTTAGGCAGAGGAACACCTTCTTGTGTTTCCTATTCTGCCAGGAGGATGTGACCAGAAAAGGCGAAATGGGCAGCAGCAGCTGAATATAAGAGATTTGAGCAGCTGGATCAGCAAGCAAAGGATGAATTCTTGTCCCTGCAGCTGTTCATCAGAAGGAACTGCCTGGTGATGGATGTGGACCAGAACCTTTCTGAGCAGAGTGCAGGCAGACTGTTGAGGAGTGGTAGTGGAAAAGCAGCTTTTTATGATTCCCTTTTCATCTTGTAGAAATAGGGAAATGATCATGCCTTCACTGGATTTATGAGTAGATTTCATAATCTGCAAGTAACTAGAACACAGATTTTTCTGAAAGTTCTGCACAGAACATGGTCCTGGCAGTGATCACATGAAAGTGGATCCATAGCTGTGAAGCCATTCCACTGTGCTGAAGGACTAGATACTCCAACTGAGATGGAAGGGTCTTCTGAATACATGCTTATCATGTGCACTTGAAGCTGTGAGGAAAAGCATCCAACTACCTCGTGAAATTTCTTAGGGTATTTTTAAATGATACTTTTTCCATAAACTGAAATTGTTGTCTGCCTTTTTGGAGTGTTGTGAGGTTCAGTAGAGGGTAGGATTGCTTTTTTTGAAATTAAATTTTAAGAGGCCTTTCAAAATCTCACAGTACTCTTACAATATATTGTAGTTCTTGTGTTAGAATGAATAATGAAATAAAACTAGTTTTTTCTTCTTCCATGTGTTTAAACTATAGATTTTTATCTATACAAGATGATGATAATATTATAAGCAATTACAGCACTTCCATATACTTCTTGGTATTTGTCAAATTCATTGCACAGCAGATTACCCTGAATTCTGCTCTTGCCATATCATTGAAGGGAAGTTGACTCTCAGTATTCTGTTTTTATCATAAATTCAAAATGTAACAAGGAGGCTCTGTATGTGTTGGGGTTTTTTTTGTTTGGTATTTTTTACATAGCAAAATAATTTATCAGTGAGACGGGAGGGGAAGACAGTTTTTTTTATTCAAATGAACATCAGTGAAGATTTACTGTGGAGTGTATAAGCAATGTGCACACTGCCTTTTTCTGTTACTTACATCAGAACTCAGCTTTTTAATCTTGTACTTGCTCTTACTTTGCCATTAAAGTGGTGGGAAAATGTCTTAAGAAGTCTGATGCATTCTCAAATGCTAATGACTTTTAAAGACAAATACCTAGCTTTCTAGTGCTAATTTTGCCTGGTGGACAACAAAGAATGTGCCTGTTGTTCAACTCCAGCCTCAAAATCATGTGAAGGCAGTGCAAGTAAAACAAATGCATACTGTTTTTCACATGAGCACTCAGGCAATTGGAAAGCTAATCTAATGAAGGCTCATAAAGTAGATGAAATAGAATGGAAAGAGAAGGACAAACTCTTTATTCACTCAGTGATTGACTATAGGCAGTGACAAAACAGCCATCCCAAGTCATGTCTCTCTCCTGCAATTATTGTAGTGGTTAAAAAAACCCAAACCAACCCAACAAAAAAAGTGTGCCAACATAGTTAGTTGTGGTTTGAAAACTTACACCCTTTTAATTGAATTGGCTGCCTAGCTTTTGATAGTATAGGTATACGAGCAAAAAAGAACATCTGTGTGTTGCCAGTGTGCTGCTGAAGTGTAGATCAATACAGTTGTTCTTTTCACCCAACTTCAGAAGCACAGTGTAGTTCATTCAGTAAACCAGGTGGATTCACTATGCTCTAATTTTACTCTGACTCACTGGACTAACTTTCTCCTCAAGCTTGTACTGCTAAAATGGAAAAGGGAAATTCAAATTCCATTTTTCTTCCTGCTGCCTTAGCATACTGCATTGTTGGTCTTACCCCTGCCCTTAATTTTGTGACTGTCAGGTCAATATTACTGCCTCATTCAGTAATTTCAACTCATTGTCCTCATGCATTTTCAGATCGAGGATGTAGACTAGATAAGCTTGCAATGCCTATATCGTCATAATCCATTTACTCTGAAAAGGTAATCCTTCTTCAGACCACAGTTTGACAGATGAGTTAAATTCAGCTCCAGGGTATCTTCTACTGAACCGGTTACCCTATCAGTGTCACACAAAGAACTAATCCAGGGTAAATTTACTCTGCTGTTTCAGACATATGTGCTCCAAGAAGTATTGATGCACTGGCAGCATTTGGGCCAGACTGGATGCTGTGTCACTTTATGCAGCCTGTCTGAAGCCAGCAAAACCGCAAGAATCAGTCATACTTGGAAGTGCAAGGTCAGATGAGTACTGCTGGATGAGATCCTTAGTGCACTGATTTGATATTAAAAAGAAGCAGGACATTAGCTAAACCCTCACACATACCCAAATCCAGCCTCGTCTTTTTACACCAGCTACCACGAGTAACTTGAACAGGTTCCTCAAACTCTGTTGCAGTCATACGTGTCTCTTTTCTTTCACGAAAAAGTGTGTGCATGGTTTCTTTTCTCTCTAAAATAATAGGAATTTGTGACTGCTGTTACAGTAATTTTACAACATCAAAGTTTGATAGCTGTCAGCATTATTTAAGTTGGTCGGTTTATCTCTGGTCTCAGTCATATGCTTGTGGTCAGCTATGCCATTTCTCTGGATTATATCTGGACATTATTTTGCTTGATACCTAGTCATGGAGTGAATGTAAAGATGATGTCGTAGCTCATGCACAACTCAGCAAGCATAAGTTTCTGCAGTTTCCATGATTAACTTCAGTGATAGCAACTTAGATGTTTTGTCACCATACTGTGACCAAGGTAATGAGCCATCAAAAGCATAGGACAGTGTGCCCACCTTGGCTTTTTGACTTGAATTGCTTGAAGTCAACATGCATCTAGGACTAGCCCTTTCTGGTTTTGCTGGAGCTGAACTGACTCCGTTTTAAATGTCACTTACACTTTCTCACCACTTTGCTTGAGAATCTGATCGGGTTTGTGAGCTAGATGCAGATGTTCAGTGTGATTTCTCAGGACCCATCGTTCCAGGTTGGAGATAATAGTTTTTCAGGTTCCTCCATTTGATTATGGTATCTCATGTAGTGGATAAACAAATGATGCTTTGCTGATTATATGTTAAGAAATTACTTCCTAGGATTGTAGAATCATGGGATAATTAAGCTTGGAGGGGATCTCAGAAGGTCTCCAGGCCAACCTCCTGCTTAAAACAGGGTCCATTATGAGTTCAGACCAGGATGCTGAAGGTTTTATTGAGATGGGTCTTGAAAAACCTCCTAGGATAGAGACTGCATGAACTCTGGGCCCCTGCTCAACTACTTGAGAGTCCTCATCATGAGAAAGTGCCACTGTGCCTCTCTTGTTTCAGTGCACTCTGGCCCCTGCTCAGCTCACTGTCCGCCAGAGCCCAGGGCCATCCCCTTAGAGCTGCCCCTGGCCCCACTGGCATGGCTGACAGGGCTCTGCAGGCCCAGGGCAGGGCTGCACAGTGCTCCTGCCTGCCTGGCATTGCTGGGGCTCCTCTTGGCTGAAGGATTGCAGTTGTGTCTTGTTCCACTCCAAACATGGTTTTCATACGCTTATTTGATAACTTTATTACAGGTGGGGGTTTTTTCATTGTTTTTTTGTTCCGTGTTGTGAATTGGAGTTACTCTACATCCACAATAGAGCAGCAATGCAGATTCCGAGCCAGGCTCAGTTTTGAAGGATAGTGACCAACTGTGTAAAAAGAACTGGTCATCCTCAGTAATCATTCCTTCCTGACATTTCTGTTGATGGAGGTTATAATTTGTGGCATGGTTTGGGACTTTCTGTGTGTTTTTCTTAACAGTGACTTGAGACATGTCAGAGTGGTTTCAAGATAACACAATAAATGATGGCTGCCATTTTCTTAGCAATTAAATAATCAGGAAGCTCAGGCCTGATCTGTTTATAATAGGGCTGCCTAGTGGACTGAGGGTGTTGTGTGGAGTCCAAAGTAGTAAAATGAATGGTGGTTCTTTCAAGTTGTTTTTTTTTCTTCCTGTCAGGTCATGGAACTGCTGGTTCATCTGAATAAGCGCATCAAAAGTCGTCCAAAAATTCAGCTTCCTGTAGAGACATTGCTAGTTCAGTATCAAGATCCTTCGGCAGTGTCGTTTGTCACTGTAAGTGTCTGTTCTTCCAAGAATAGTTGCTGATTTACTTGTAACAAGCAGAATACTCTTTAAAGCTCCTGTATTTAGCTCTGTCAGTTTTCCTAGCAAGTATGTGATTGTCATGAGGTTGATGTTTTAAGAGATTTTTTTCGAACTATACTTTATAGTCTGGTGTGTGTGATACTTTTCATAAAGCAGCCTCACTATTGATTCTGTTCAAATTACTGGTATTTACTTGATACTTCCTGAATGCTTGAATTGTCATTTTTGTATTGTAGAGGGTCTGTTCATTGTTAGCAGCTCCATTTTCCAAGCAGCTGCCAGTCCTTAACCTGATACATGCAGGATCAGGGTCTTAAAACATTGTGCAGGATCAGAGTCTCACTTAAAACATCTTTATTTCTCTGAACACATGCGAACCTGTATTTTTTTATGGTTTTGGGGTCAGGACCTTAGCCAAGCAATAAAAGATAAAACCCCTCATTTTATAGATGTGGAAACTTTACTAGATGGTTTCATTCAATGTAGTTTTAGAAGTGAAAATAGTTTAAAAAATGTTTTTGTGAAACTATGAAGACAGTTTTCATTTCAACTGTGGTACCTTTGTTGCAAATCACCATCCTGAAAAAAATCATAAAATCAGAGGGAAACTTCCTGTCCTTCTCACCTGACTGTTCAGTCATGTGTAGCATAAATGGAAAACTTAGAGTCTTAGAAACTGATGGAGAAAATTTAAACAGCAATAACATAGAAGTAATCTCAGATAGTGGAGTTCACCTTTTAGAAATGGCCAAGGGCTTCTGGAGTGCATGTGTTCTGTAGAGCAGTAAAAGACACATCTTGTTTGAAGACAAACTTGACATTAACTGTGCTTTTGGCTGGACATGTCAAAAATCTGTTTTCATTCATGTATCTGAGTGATGCATGTTGTTTTGTGCCATGAGGCTTCATAAAATTTTAACAAGTGCCATCTAGAAGTGTATTACAAGTGTAATGCTTCCCAATTCAACACTTCTTTCAACCAGGTCACTGAACACATAAGTCTTATCTCTACAGTTCTTGGCTGGATTTTGATCGATGTGATAGCAGTGACATAGTACAGTATTCAGTATTGCTCTGCTGTGCTGTCCTGTCCTGTCACTGGAGTCTGTTTGGATTGTCTTTGCAGCTTTTAATTATGATGATTTAGAAACCCATTTTCAAGAGAAACCTTGCCTGTGCTGCTGACTTTGTATTTATTCAATATTGCTTTCTATTTTATTTCAGAAATAGATAAGAGATAAAATTACATTTGCTTTCCTTGATGCTGTTACTCAGGTAAAGCTGCTTTTGGTGAAATTGGCAGTGAAAAAGAGAAGCTATGTAGAGTTTTTTGCGAAGTTGTTTTCCTCCTTTTGAAGTGAAGGTTCAGCAAGACCTACTCAGAAAACTCTTTCTGAACCCATTAATAGTTGTCAGTCCGATGAGCGTTAGAATTAAGAAATTGGTCTTCCAAAACATGCATTGCTTCCAGCACCCAATTATGTAACATGATGTAAAAGAAGATTTTAAAGAACAGATATTTCTTTTGCACTGTTGCAATACTGTGTGCTTTTTCTACTCCTTTAGAATTTTACCATAATTTATGTTAAGATGGGATACCCCCGTCTGCCTGTAGAAAAACAATGTGAATTGGCTCCAACTCTTCTCACCGCAATGGAAGGGAAACCTCAACCACAGCAAGACAGGTATAACTACTTACTCTTGGAGTGAATTCTGTTGGTATCATTTTAATAGAGTAATTTGTATCAGTTGTTAAAAGATTTTTTTTTTCCTCCCTTGGTGCTATCTTCATTGCTTAGGAGGTTCTTGGCTTGTACAATTTGGATCAGTAGGTGGTACAAAGAATTCATATAGTCTAATGTTGTAATAGTATACAGCAGCAGACCCCCTCTATGGTCGGAGGCCTGTGTTATGATGGATATGCCTGTCTATATCCCCCATCCATCTTCATCAAATTCTGGTTTCCAGCTTAAGGCCAGACCTCTTCAGTAAATATCCTCTGTCCAGCAACAGGAACAGCAGTAAATGTCTCAGATTGGCCACTCTGAATTGTGAGATAACCAAAATTCCTACTAATTTGAAACACTAAATTATAATAAATAAAAGAAGACTGAAGTTGGGAACTGCTGTGTACTAAGAACTTCTAGAAAACTGTTAATTATGGACCTGCTTCTTATTTACATTGAGATGGGTTTCCACCATGCTGGCTCTGGAAAATGGCATTAAAATCATGCCTTCATTCACTCTACATCACTGTGACAGCATAAAGGTATTTTAAAAATTACCTTACTGAAAGGTCTTGCAGTAAAATCTTGCTTCTGTTCATGAGATCAGTGAGAAAATACTTGATTGTCTTCATGGGGACCATGGGTTTGCCCTGTCCGAAAAGCAAGTACATGGGTGAAGAGAGCTTTTGGAAGTCTGGCCATACTGGTATATAATAAATATATTTTTTTGTGCGCACTCTTTGGTGAAGCTGAACAGTGTTGGTCAACTTTGGCTCTAGGCAGACTCAGATTTAAAACTTGGAATTTCTTATGGATGAGACAGTCCTAGACTGTATTTTGTGGCATAATTACAAAACATTAAAAGGCTGGACAAAAACAGTGACTTTATCTTTCCAGATGTGTGTGTGTGCATGCACACAGACATATGTGTTCTATTCTAAGTGCAAATCCTAATTTATCTTCTGCCTTCCATTTTCAAGTACATCAGGTGGCAAACAGAGGCCGCTGGATTATGCATCAGTTTAAGTTTTGTTAAGATTATATTTGCTATTAAGGACCATGTTTGTTGTTGAAGATTTCTCTCTTGAATGTTAAGAATAAACAGGTGTCGTTTTTTTAAATGGTTGCAGTAAATATAATTGTTTTTCAGCCTAATGCATCTTCTAATTA